ACTCTGGCACAGGATCGGGAACTTTGGAAGCTCTGTCTGACGTGTCTGCCTCCGCGACCCGAAAGGAGAAACGGCGGTGGAAGATGAAAATGTGAAAGATTATGTTAGTTCCTCACATCAACATATTCTGTGGAATTTTCGAGATGTACCGCCTAGCCATATTTCTGTAATTTATGTGGTTGTCAAGTAAGAACTGTCTATTAATCTATGATAAAAAACGGTTTAAGAATGTTTAGAAAAGTAACAACTCAGAACTACTTTGGAAATCAATTTTTTAACATTGCTTGAGATTTTGGAAGAGAGAAGTATAAAATGAAATGAAGCATTCAGTTGACGAATGCTTAGTTACTTAATTTAACTTAAATCTATATCTGATCAGTGGAATTGCTAATGGTGATATTTGCAACTTTGCAGACAATCGTGATTTCACATGATGAATTTTTTTATTTCATGGAAGAATTATTAAAAGTGATTAATATTTCTCTGGACCAGAAATTCCGTCTCGTTTAATCAATGTACTTTTATATTTTGAAAGAGAGCGACATAGAAGAAAATGTTGGCACTCTAGATCTTTGGATTTTGTTAGGTAATGTGCTATGGTGTCCCCAACTTGAAATAAGAAATAGAAGCAAAAATGCTGCTGAGGATTCCTGAAATGTTTGACATATTTCTTTTCATATGCTGCAGAATGTTTTGTTTCGGTCATTTTTGAATTGGTTCTCAGCTTCTACTACATACCTTAAGTTAGGTTGAACATTCCCAAGGGTATATCAACATGCGTAAACTCTACAGAAGATTTTTATGGCCAGGTGGAGTTATGCACGGTCACAACTGAATGGTTTCATTTTTCGGCAGTAGGCCATTGATAGCATTCTATTCCAACTCCACTTTTCGATGACTGACTACGGTTAATAAATTATTCAGCCAGTTCGTGCAATTAGAGAAAATGGCATTGTTTAAAACGAATGGCACAGTGCCTGCGAGGTCGATTTCGAATTCCGTAGGTTCGATTCCTGAGGACAGCAGTCATTGTCTTAACCACGAATTATTTTGTATAAGAAATCCACCACGGGTCGCTTCTGACCGTTGTTGCTCAGTCGATACAGCGTCAGACTCAGACCGGAGAGGTCGCGT